TATATATATATATATATATATATATATATATATATATATATATATATATATATATATATATATATATATATATATATATATATATATGTATATATATATAACAAATAAACGATATACTCCATTTGTCGAATATACTCCGATATCCAATATACTATATCCAATATGCTCCACTATACGATATCCAATATACTCCATTTGCTGAACCAATTGTTGAGCATGCAACAAATATAGGCATTACAAAGGCAAATGGTCCAAACGTTTTGCTAGCGAATTCCTCAAACTTGGGTAATTAAACCTTAATTTAGGTAATTAAAAAAGTAAAAAATATATATATACACATATATATTAGCACGTTCGCTTCTGTCAACCACTTTGCCGGTAATGAACCACGCATGTTTCATCAAGTGACGTCACTGACAAGCGAGAAATTTACAGCTGTAAACTGTGTACCCTATACTTTGTTTTTTTTTTTTTTTTGGGCTTCACTTCAACAGAAATCTGTTTTGCTATTTACGTTCTTAATGTGGCGTTCATTTTATCATTGCTAAAAATTTTAACAAATTTATTAATTTGCACTTTTGTGTGGTTTTTTTCCAATCTTCAAGATTTCTTGATGTTTATTAATTAATAAGCGTTTAACGTTCGTGTTTAGAACTGCACAGCTTGTTGGTTTTTTGTTCATCATTAGGAGAACGTGTAGATCGAAGGTAATGCAGTTATTTCTCTTAAAGAAATTACGAAACTTTGCCTCCTATGAATGTTTAACAGTTGTCTTAACTATAAATAATGTCCTTCAGTTGTGCCACAGTTTCACACTCCCGTCATTTTAATTGCTTATTTTACCTTTTCATTATTTTTACCTTTAACATTCCGAACGGACTATCAGGTATCGGTAATCCAGAGAAAGATTTACGATTTTTGGATAAAGGCGATTCTTCCTTTTCGATTTTTTGCACGCCGTTTGTTTTGCGCAGTTTTTCGTGTTTTATCTTGAAAAGTGATACAACATTTTCAAAGCATATTTCAAAATACATAGAATAGTATATTTCTTCCTCACCTAACATTGGCAAAAACATACGAGTTATGAATAAAGCAGAAAGTCTTTCCAAAAAAAAAGAAAAAAAATCGAGTAATTTTTGACTGTAAAAGGTAGCTCTATTTGTCAATCCATAAAAAGAGCTGATATAAACATAATTTATTCTATCAAAATTGACTTGAGAACTCTCATAACTTACACTTGTTAGAAACACTGGAATAATACAAATGCGAAAATATTATTACACATAATACAAATATCACAATATTCAAGTTGAGCATTTCAAGTATTGTCATTTTATCAGCGAAATTGCTATGGATGAACGGGATAAGTTGTCAAATCTTTCTTGAACTAAATGCAATTTTACATCTCAAATTGTACCTAAACGAGTGCGTGTATATTTTTTTAAATTATTCATCTCTTCAGTTGTTGATTCTATATACCCATTGTAAGAATATAGTTTTTGACTGTTTAGTCAAGCTTCAGTTTTTATGAAATATTTGGCATTGTTTTTCCTAATATTGAGGATGGGAGATGTGAAAAAGATTGGAATGAAAGTGCTTGAAGTGGCAGTAAAGAGTAATGTGACGTGGCAGCAAACAGCAGTTAGGGGCCTGAATTTGCAAAAGTTCTGGAAATTCCAGAGAAATATGCCAAGTTTTCCATGAGAATAAATTAACAGCTAATTAAAAAAGTTGAAAAAATAGTTAGGGGGATAAGACAAATTAACACAGGTGACAGTAATAATTGAAGGCAACGACGACCACAGTGGCAGCTCCAACTGCTAGTGGTACACCAACAAGAAGTATTGTAAGAAAAGATGTACGGGTGGATAATGGAGCATCTGGTTCTGGATGTGACGGATTTGAATCCACGCTGGAATTTGCACAAACGTTAGATTCTAAAGTTGCAATGAAACTCTTAAATTAAAATGTATTACTGACTATACAAAGGGACGGCAATCTTATAATTCTGAACGACTTATTAAGGATATGTATGTGAAACTTGCTGAACTGAAAAGTTATTTGTTATTTTCAAATGTTGTTCCTTATATTCGAAGTAGAATTGCCCGACAGTTGATCGAATTTTGTTTTCACTGAATCGTACTCTCATCACTTCCTTATTGATTTCATTAACATCGCTTTTATTCCGTCATTTAATTTTTGAATATTTGCATAAAGGAACGAATTTCGAGAATCAAGCTTCTGGGTGATTACCTGTGTATACGATTGAAAATGAGGGAATCACCACTGGGCACTTCATCTTCACGTTTAGCATTACCCCTGAGATATGAAAATGTATTACACAGAGGTCTATCGCAAGCGCACAAATCAAGCCACCTGAAGATGGTAAACTGGTAATTATAACTGTAAAACTTTTTAACTTCAAGGAATAAAGAAAGATAACAAGTTTATAAGTTGATCTTACCATGCTTCTGTATTATTTTCCTTTTCGTAAAATTTGTTTGATTTCCCTATATTGATGGAGCGATAATTACGCTACACTGTCAGCGGATGGCTAGACAAATTTTCAAAAGCTCTAACTAAATCGAAAGGACACTTTAATATCATAAAGTACTAAAAGACTATAAAGGCTGTAATTTAGCTATTAAAGCTGCTCGCAGTCTATGAAGATGGATTGCAGTACATGATTAAGCATAAGAATGGTCATTTTTTTGACAGGATGAAACTCCACTGTATCCTATATGTATAATTACAAATGTACCGACAACATGAGACATTATGTAATAGATATCAACTCAATTCTGATATCTCGATATCTTGTTATTGTTGATTAAATAAGACACTAATATTTCGTTGATAAAAATAAGGCACTAGTGCTCAGAAAACTTGGGTCGAATGCAATGAGAAGCAGCCAGAGAAAAGTATGATCCAAATGCTAATGTATGCTGTTAAGCATAGAAAAGTTTCTGGAAAAACAATATAATCATTTATTTCATGCTTTGTAGCACAATGAATATATGAACACCAGATAATTTAGGCCTCTCCAATCAGGACACATTTAAAGAAGTGTGTCAGTACTGAATTGAATGTGCTACTCAGTGCGGAAGCGGACGGTTACACTGTAAAGCATTATTATTCAAAACAATAATCAAGCATTCGATGCTTGTTACGGTCATTCAACAGCATTGCGTGTAAACGCGGAAATTTGAAGAACATCTCCGTGTGAACACGGGAATTTCAAACAAAATAATAGGTTAATCCGTAAATTTTATCAATCCTTAATAACTCAATCTTCCTGGTACAAATAATGTGTTCTTCGATTTACATGACTAGAATGGGAGGAATGTTATTCAGTCGACTAACAATTAAGACAGTAAATTTATGTGCATTTTCGTACCTTTCTCAACACTATTACTTATTTTCGGTGGTTAGCAACATTACCCTTCTGCATTTTTGCTTTACCTTCCATAACTTCCATTTATATGACGATGAGTGAAGTAAGAAAGCAAACAGACCTTCCGACATTCCTTCTGCAGCCAATCATCTCAGTACCGCATGTTCGAATAACCGAATTGGAACTTTTGAGTATTCCAACTAAACACATGGTACTTTCACATACACCATAGGGTACACAGTGATCGTCTGTACAGAAGCATTTCACTGCACAGACAACAGTTGTTGAAATTGGAAACAGCCACGCGAAGATCGATGGAAGAAGGTGCATAACGCACCAGCAAACCGCTTTGACGGCAGAATGCTGTCCCGTTTATGTTTCAACCTTATACCTTCTTCAGTGGAAGATTTCAGTCAGAATCAAGTACAGTACACCTTGGCAACGATCTTCCAGTAATAATCAGTTATTGGTCACCTTCATTGCCCATCCATTCTAACTGATTTGCTGTCTACGACAATGCACTAATTCCTTTGAAACATTAACATGTATGGAACGAGGTACCTGAAATAATAAAATTCTCATCTTCAAAACGTTATCAGTGATGAAATGTTATCGACGAAACTTTTTCTAAAGCATGTAATTGACACCAAATCATCTTTGTCTTGAGCTACTAGAGGATCAAATAAAAAAGATTACCATTAGGTTAAACATCTTTCTTTAACCCTAAAAAAATTTCGGGATATCTGAATTTTTATTTGCCCTATGCACTTAAGCTTGTAGGACTAAAGAAGCATCCGAAGTTCAAAACGCATTGGATGAGGAATTAAACTGTCCATTTGTAGAATATTTTGAGCCAAATCAACCTCAATGATTGCATTTTTTCTTTTAAAAGATGAATAATTGTAAAATGGGATCGCTGCTTAACTCAAGACTTCAGTTTAGGGAGAAGGATCTTCAATGACTCATTATTTTAGAGAACTGTCGTAATCTAAGTCTCAGTACCCCTGGATCACAAAATTAAGATTTATTGTAATAAACTAAATATCAAAAGTATGAAGTGGTAGTGGGGAATACTAGAGCAATCTAAGCGGCTAAAATCCATAACCAAGTCCATAACCCCACCTTATGTAGTTTGCAAAAATAGTTCAGTGGTGACCAGTAACGAATGTGATAAACGGTGGAGATTCCCTGAACGGAATGTGAAAGAGAAAATGGATTTAACCTAATCGGCTTAAAATAATGTGATGAAATTAGAGTCTTGATAAATATGAAGAAAATGAAGAATTAAAAAAAGTGGATTATTATAAAGTGAGGGTACAATAAAATAACGAGTAAAATAAATTTTGAGATTTAGTAGGAAAAATATTGAAGTACGGAGAAGGACGAAAAAAAAGGGTTGTTATCGAATCAAAGATTAATTAGTCGGGGGATGAAGAAAGAGAAGAAGGAGAAAATTGGAAACTGAATAAGGCTTCTTTAAGTGACGATCAGAAATAATTTATCCCATTAAGAGCTACAGCTTTACTGCTTAGCTTATTTTTCCGAAACGATTTGGTTCTACTTTGAAAAAACTTTCATCGATAAGATGACAATGAAAAAGTGTAAATATCATTGAAAGTTTTCCACAAAATCCCTTAAATTTTTACAAAAGGGCAACAGTATATTCTGAACACTTCGGTATCTGTGTTAAACTAATGCTTTAAGTTCACTATTCTATCCTTGAGATGTCTAAACTTCCACAGTTTTGGCTCTCAATTTATTTAAATAACACCACTAAAAATAAAAATAGGTCTGACATAAAATTTTTCAAATAATTTTGGGAAATAAATCTGAATGCTTTTTTAATTCCCACGATTACAGGACTGTTGCAAATTAGATTGGACATTTGCTTTTCTAACTCAAATAAAACGGAAGCAAATGTCTTTGTATTTATAGTCAATTAAGCAAAGTGTTGAAATGGAAAATTTTGAAAATTTTTCAACAAATTTTAAAAACATGCAAATTACGACACTGAAATCTTGAGCAGTGAATGAATTTTTTTAAATGTATATCACCTATTTTGTTGTTGCCTCAACATTATGAGTGAGAAAAAACAGAAAAATGAAAAAAGAATTTTTCAGATAAACAGAAAACCTTGAAATGATAATACGCTTCTACCTGAAATTAGTTTGAATTGGTTAATTTAAAACTAGTGAATAATTACTTTTCGACCGAGTTGTTATTATCTGCGTAAATACAAATTATTAATTATTGGGTGTATTGGCTCATTCACACATACCTGCTAAAAAAACTAGAAAAATTAATCGTGGATTAATACGGAATTAGTTAAATTGAAATGAATCAATTTGAATTAAGGAAATTTTTTCACATTATGAGTGGAAAAAAACGGGAAATGGTAAAAACATGCTGTCTTTGAAAACATGATAGAAATGTTAGAGCTTAAAGCCTCGAAAGAATTTTATCACAAAAAACGAACTGCGTAAATACAAATTACAATTCGAACATTGTCAAGCTATGTTCTTGCAAATCCAACAACATTTGAGAAAATAAATTTATACATTCTTTTTTAAAACAACTCAGAAAATGCTTTCTCCCCGCCTTTTTATTTGTCTTCTTTTTCGAAATATTATATTGAGAGAAATGATAAAAGTCTTACTACTCAGTATGGTCTTCTTTTCAGAACGTCCATTTCCTTTCCTTTACTAATGTTGCCGACCATTATAGAGCAGGTTGCAAATGTCAGTTGATAGTGTTTCCATGCGAATAGATCTCTTTTTTTAAATTCGTTTATAATATCGACATTTTTCCGAAGTTTGCAGAAGTTTGGATAGTCAATTTAGTTATAAAATCTTTTAAGAAAGACATTGTGATAACTTATCATACCTATCAATTAACTAATTAATTAATAAAGATTGAAATTCAACTTAGTATTTGTTATATTTAAGACTGCACTAGTGACAAACGGATTTGGCAAACTAAAATAGAGCTTTTTTTTCATTTTTAACGGTATTTCACCAAAAAAAATTAGGATTTATTTAAATGTACAAAAGCTGATATTGGACTCATCAAAAATATCAAGTAAACTGCAACAATCAACAAAATATGAAACGTTTCAAAGTGACATTGACACAAGAAGCTATTATTACTTTCTTTCTTTATATGACACAAATTTTTATGTTGGTAATACATAACGTATGGATCAATTTGTCAGATTTGACTTTCACCAGCTTTTGGAGTAATTTGATGAGCTAAAAGGAACGAAAAGAAGGAGGAGAGAGTGAAGGATAGTGAGCAGATTAACTGAATGGTCGGTCATCGTCACGGATATTATTTTTATGAAATGGAATGGAAAAAGTGATGGAAGATTTTTGGTCGTATGATTTGTGAACCGACAATAACAAAAGGAAGTGGTGGCGAAAAAAAGCAGTCTCTGCGAAATATTGCTTGTTGGAGCACACGGTAATGCCTTAGAGTGGAGCCTTGGAGCCAAGAAAAGCCTTAGCACTCACTTCATACTACTCATTGATTTCCCATCAGTTATGTAAAATGATGTCTTTTCTTTTTGTCTAGCAAACCAACAAAGCTTTTAAAGAAAAATCAAAAAGGCAGCCGACATTACTAGCGGACTTGCCAGTTATAGGCCTATATTACCGTTCAGGCACCTATTCACAAAGCTTCATTACACTTTTATATTGTTATTTGCATTACTTTTCTCATATAAATTCGCAGTTCAAACCTCAGAGGCCTGACACAGAGCTTCGAAGATCATTTCGATCATCCCAATCTCTTGGAGCAGTTGCTGCTGTTCATTTTGTAGAACTACATTTTGGTTTTTCCCGAAGAGAAAAGATCAAACTATATCAGATGCTTATGTCACATGTGGGAGAATATTCATGAAATTAGCAGGACATTTACCTGTGTCTCTTACCTCCTCTCGTCGGCACTATGTCGCTGACCATTACGCGTCCTTATCATTTCGAGGAGTCCGAGTTGACAGTACTGGTGAGGATATAAATTAAATTTGGATGTTATAAATCCGTGAGATTTTCAAGTCTGATAATTTCAAAAAGCTATAGAGGTAATACACTTCATCAGCGTGTAGAATATCGTAAGGTTAGATATATTTTACAGGCAAACATTTCATGTGTCCTAAATTCAAGCTTAGATACAAGAATTTTTTTTTTCGAAGCCCATTATTTTGAACCTTAGACAGAATACGCATAAAAGACACTTAAAGTAATTCCCAGCGCATTACAATATCAAAGCTATCGTTGGCACTGAGACCAAAATTTCATTACATTAAAAATGAAACGCCATTACAAATTCTAAAGGAGAAAAACGAAACTAGTATAAGGACAGTTTTTTCTAGTCTTTATTATAAACTTGCTTTTTCCAGAATTGCTTATCATACCTTTTAATTCTACCCATGTTTCAGTTCTGAAAACAGCCGTTTAATAAACTTTGTCCAGATGTTACTTTCCATTGTTTGAGTACAGTGCACTGTAGAATAGAAAATCTAAAGATCAGATGAGCATTAGTAGCATTCCGATCTCACTCTTCATATGAAAATATTGCTAGGATATTTTGACTACCTTATACAGCACATCGCTCTAAGTATCACTACGAATAGCATTATTTGTGGGTCAATCCAAAAGACTGGTTATGTTAGCTGTCAAAATGCACCGTTAAATCGACACCCTGTTCAAGTTGTCGGTTCTAATGTAGAAATCTTGATTTTAACATAAAAACATGAGGCTGTTGCTCTGAATCCATTAATAGTCATAAATCAATGACAACTGTCAGAAGGGATGATAAAAAAAGATGGAAAATCAAAATCAAGATTCACTTCGATTGTCAACCACTGTCAAGTAGTTCAATGAAGTACATCAACCGTTGATAATATAAGCCGTTTATACTTCAAAGTATTTATCAACCATCGATTTATTTTGACAAACAACAAATCAGAATTGAAGTTATAAATGTTTCAAAGATGCAAAAGCAGAAATCTGATACAGGTGAAGCAAGAAATCGAAAAGGAAGCTTTGAAAAGCAAGGCTTATGTTACTTTAGAAAAAGGACGCTTTTACCATTAGCCGTATAATATCAAACGTTGCATATCAAAATTTTGATCAAAAAATCTTCAAGAATTTCTTTTTAGATTTTGAATTTGACTGTTTCACCAAAGATTTTGAAACGTGAAAAACGAGATATTGAGAACAAAGATAATAAGCACTTTCTTTACAGTGAAACTCATTTTGACTTAAAAAACTTCCACAACAGCCCGATCGTCTTGCAAAATTCCAAATCAAAAAAAAATTTCCAAACCAACAAAATCACGAAGGAATCAATCGCCTAATAGTTGATTTATTCCTCGTGACAAAATTCTCAATACGACAAGAGTACAGTTCAAACTTTATAAACAATAGGTAGCTTTAAACGAGAAAAAAACTTTATCTATTGCAAGACCATAGATAGGAACAAAATTCTTCGAAGACAGATATCAGTATTTTTATACAATTTCCAAAAATTCCAGAAAATCAAGTTTTGTATAGCTTAAAGGACGTACTGTTTCTGATTGTGTTAAATGGATCATTTGACAAGTACAAATATAAATGAACACATGAATTTTTTAAAAAAAAGAAAGGAAATCTATTTTAATAAATGATTTTGTTTTCAAGTTCTCTGTATCATAACAATATCGAACAAGAGAAACAGGAAATTTTCGACAAAGCTTTATAACGCTGCAAACTTTTCTTACATTCTAAAAGCATTAAATATGATTTTTACTGCTCTTTATACACCGACTAGCTGGGAAATTTTCCTTCTTTCTTTCAAAAAAAGAAAATTTGCAAATATCATCTGATCGTTGCTAAAATATAATCTAGCAGATGAAGTTAGTATTTCTCAATGACAGAAAGTTGCCGAATATCATGAAAGAAATATAAAAAGAAATCTTAATAAAATAGTGTAATGATTTGCAAGAAGATACGAGTGAAAAAGAAAAGAGAGGAAAATAAAATAAATCTTAGACTTAGTAATTAGAAGGACGATGTTGTAAGTATCAAAGCTCCTCTAAAGATCTAATTAAATGGGAGCATTTGAGCTTTAATCCTGGTTAGTATGGTATGGCCACGGTCTTTATTTGATAATATAAGCTAACCACCCTAGCAGTTAATAGTCTTCAGAGCTGTACGGAGAGATTGAAATTATTGCACAAATGAGGAAAGAAATTTCGCAATTCGGAAGAGTTTGATGAATGAAGTCAACACAAAAACAGCAATAAATTCCATTCAACTCTTTAGGAAGCATAAAAATGTCGAGCAGTTTTACAAGAGTGCATAAGAAGAAGAATCGATTCATAAATGAGTGATGCATTTTCAACAAACTTTGTGGGCTGCACTTTTGCAGCAGTCTTACGAAAGTTTTCCCTCACTAGTCTTCTCCAACTCTCTGCCTATTCTATTCATCATTAAGCACATGTAGTAGTAGTAGTAGTAGTAGTAGTAGTAGTAGTAGTAGTAGTAGTAGTAGTAGTAGTAGTAGTAGTAGTAGTAGTAGTAGTAGT